TGAGGGAGGGAGAGGGAAGCTACAGGGGAGGGGTGAGGGAGGGAGAGGGAAGCTACAGGGGAGGGGTGAGGGAGGGAGAGGGAAGCTACAGGGGAAGGTGGGGGTGGCAGAAAAGGCTGACTTCTGACCTCATGCCCTCCTGCCCAGGAGCCTGCTACAGTCTGTTGAGGAAGCCCTAGAGGAAAGGTAAGGGGCTGGGCCTGAAGGTGGGGGGCGGGCAGCTGGACCTGGGGCCCGGTCACATCTCACACCTCATGTTCCTCTGGTTTGTCCCCCACAGGAGCCTGACCATCCGGCCAGCCTCAGAACTCCAGGTATGGAGTGCAGGGAAGTTGGAGCGGGGGATGGGAGAGGGCTGTAGAGGCCGCAGTTGGGGTAGGGCCAGGTTATGGGGTCTTGCTGACAGCCAGGCTCGGTCCCCTGACTCTCCTGCCAGGAGCTGGACTCCCCAGACGATACCATAGGAACCATCAAGCGGGCCCCATTCTTGGGGCCATCCCCCCCTGAGCCTCCAGCTGAAGACCCTCTATCCAGCCCCCTAGGTGAGTCCAGGCTTGGGGGACCAGGAGGCAGGAGCGGGTGGGGCTAGAGCTGGAATTCACAGCCAGTCTGTGCCTGCAGGAACCCCACCTCCACCTCCCCCAGGCCCTAACAGCCCCCCACTGCTCCCCACTGCCTGGGCCACCATGAAGCACAGGGAGGATCCTGAGGTGAGAGGGTGCTCCAGAGGGGCTGGGAAGATGGGAGACTGGGGGTGCCACCTCGGCCCTGACTCTTTCCCACCCTTCCAGAGATCGTCCTGCCATGGGCTTCCCCCAACCCCCAAGGTGCATGTAAGTGTTTGTCCCTCAGCCCTGTCCCCCTGCTGCCCCCACCACCTACTGCCTCCCCCCACCTCTGTCTTCCTTACCAGCCTCTTGCCTTCTCCCCAGATGGGCGCCTGCTTCTCCAAGGTCTTCAATGGCTGCCCCCTGCGGATCCACGCTGCTGTCACCTGGATTCACCCTGTCACCCGGGGTAGGCGGGGCAGGGAGGAAGCAGGAGCCCGGGAATCCCCAGCTTGGGCCAGGGGCTGTGACTGACCTCTGACCCCCTAACCGCCCCCCCTCCCCGCAGACCAGTTCCTGGTGGTGGGGGCCGAGGAAGGCATCTACACCCTCAACCTGCATGAACTGCATGAAGATACACTGGAGAAGGTGAGGCCCGGCTGGCTTTGGAGCGGGGAGGGTCCTGGGGGGCTTGGAGTGCTGACTCCCTGTCCATCAACCACTCTGTGGCCTCCAGCTGATTTCACACCGCTGCACCTGGCTCTACTGCGTGAATAATGTGCTGCTGTCGCTCTCAGGTACAGGTTGGGGCAGGCAGGGGGCCGGGGCCTGCACCCCGCCGGCCCACACTCTCTGAGCCCCTCTCTCCCTCCCTGGCAGGGAAATCCACGCACATCTGGGCCCATGACCTCCCAGGCCTGTTTGAGCAGCGAAGACTCCAGCAACAGGTTCCCCTCTCCCTCCCCACCAACCGCCTCACGCAGCGCATCATCCCCAGGTCAGGGACCTTAGGGGAGCCTGGACGTGCAGCGGGGTGGGAAGGGGGAGGCAGAGGGGCCGAGCCGGGGTTGGAATATGGCCTTGCCTGTGACTGGGCTTGTGATCTCAGACGTGGCTTTGCCTCTCTGAGCCTACTTTCCTCATCTGTCAGAGCCTTTGTAGCCCCCGCCCCGGGCCGCTGGACCCATAGGGAAGCAAGGAGACCACAGTGAGGCAGTTGTGGTTGTGAGGGTACGGGGCCAGCCTTTACCGAGCACTAGCTGTAGGCCTGGTCCTAAGCTGGGCTGGGAGACAGCAGATCAAATGCATCTTTGACAGTCAGGACCTGGCCCTGAAGTGAGCCTGGGGGAGAGCACGGGGGTGGGGGGGTGGGGCGCAGAGGCCTCTGAGAAGCTGGCCGCCTGAGGGCGTGGGGTTGGCAAGTGCACAGTGGGCTCCCGGGCAGATGAATTTGGGAATGGCATTCCAGGCAGGGGAAGAGCACCAGTGAATTCTTGTGGGTGATCTGGGGAGATGTAAGGCGTTTGGCCTGGGGGAGGAGGGCGGAGCAGCCTGAGGGGAAGACGCATGGGTGGCAGAGCCCTTCCTTTGATGCCAGGCCCGGGATCTGGGTTTTGTTCAGCTGGCAGCAGTGCTGGGTTATTTGACAGAGAAAGATGCAGCGAAAGAGGGAACACAAGCAGGGGGAGGGGGAGAGGGAGAAGCAGGCTTCCCACGGAGCAGGGAGCCCGATGAGGGGCTCGATCCCAGGACGCTGGGATCGTGACCTGAGCCGAAGGCAGACGCTTAACGAATGAGCCACCCAGGCGCCCCAGTGCTGGGAGCATTTTAGAAGGATCCCTCAGTATGTCAATCGGGACTCTTCCTACTGCAGGCGATGCAAGTGATTGACTAGCAGAAAAGGGAATTCAGTGGTTCATGTAACTGCAAGTTCAGGAGTAGGGTTAGCTTTAGGCCCAGCTGGATCCAGGCTTAAATGGCTTCATCAGGAATCTCTTGGCTCTGCTTTCCCCTATCACCTTCGTTCTCAGGTAGGCTTTCCTGTCCAGGGAGGGAGGGCCGTGGTTCCAGGCCAGCGTTCCATTAGCTAACAGGCTTGTGGTACTAGAACCTCTGCTTCCAAGTAATTCCCACAAAGTCCGGGGGCCAGTTCTCACGGGTCTAGCTTAAGTCCCTGCGCACTCTGAGCCTGTCATGTGGCCACGGCATGAGGAGCTTGGTGGGGGCGGGGGGG